ATGCTTTCAACTGCTATTGATAGGTTTGTAAGTTTGATCTGATTGACATTGAGGCGAAAAATTAAAACATCTTCTATTGGTTTTTATCAAATTTCCATTTGAAACATGTTTTTTATAACAAAATCGTACATGGACTTCTTTATGAATAATTATGTGGCATAAAATTGTGGTTTGAAGCAGATTTATTCTAAGCCGGGAGCAGCTCCCTGAAAATACACTGTTGGAGTTGGATACGGTAAATCAATGAATCCAATGGGTCTGGCTCCCGTTTTCCCACCTCCACAGTGGGCTCCGCAGTTGCCGCCTTTGCCGCCGCCTACTAGCTCTTTTTGGACATCAGGAAATGTGCGTGACAGCCTAAAAGAACTTAACAATACCATCAGCCTGGCTAAAGCACTGTAAGAAAAGTTTCAAACTTCAATTCTCGGTATATGAAATTTGAGGTATAAATTAGTGTATTATACATATTTGTGAAACTGTTCATTAAAAAAATGTCATTGGGTGATGAGAATTACTAAAAGAACGTCTATCGACGAATGCTTTTTGCTGTGAAATGTTATTAAGCTCCTGAAATAGGAATTGATAAAAAAATTCAAATTTTAATGGAAATTATAATTAAATTCTAGTTTTTATATTCTTTGCCTCCAAATACCGTATCAGTACTTTCCTAATAAGTGAGTCCAGGTGATGGGAACGATATATTGATTTGTTTCTTTCTTTTATTATTTCCACATTTTGTGTTTTAAGTTTCTGAAAGTAGAAAGTAGAAGAAAATTGATTTTCTCCTTGTACAGTTTATATAGACCTTGTTTAATGAGTTAAAGAGGAAAGAGGCTTTACAAAATTGGACTGCTACTTTGAACAGGCAAAAAGAGATGGAAATGTTGATTATGATGAAAGAAAGAAAAGGATTTACCGAAGGTGAAGAGAATGGGTGCAGCGACATGTCAATGGATAGGTTTTCTACGTTTATAAAGGATAATAGGATTGATTTGAAATTTCAAGAATCTTTGTCACTGGATGCTGCAAATGCTATAATGTCAAAATTAAGATTCCAAGTAGAACCTTTCCGGGTGGTCACAGATGATAAAAGTCCATGGGAGGAAAAATCTGTTGTAAAAAGGTTAGCTGACAAAATGCAGAAGTACAAGCGGAACAAACTTTGGCGGAAAAGGAAAAGAAGGCGTGTTGCAGAGAAGGTAGCAAAGGTAGTAAATCTTTTAATCAATTCTAGGGTCTGTTCCCCAGTTGTACAGTTGTGATTCAAGTGCTGCCATTGATTGTCTTCTACGTCTTGGTTGCTTTTAGGAGCTTGAGCAATTTGAAGAAATGGATAAAGAAGCTGATGAGTGGAGGGCTAGAGAGATTGCCAAAGACATAGCGAAAGGCAAGGTAGTGCCAGTTCAAAAAACATATTGTGCTTCATGACTTGCTTGCATATTCTATCTTTGATATGCAAGGTGTACAGCATTTAAGACGTTTCTGGAATGAATTCATGGACGTGTCATATAGCCGCTTTAGGGTCCAAAAGTGAGAAGTTGAAGATATAAAGTGTTACGAGCGTAAAAAGTTATGTCATACACTAGAGGAGATCATTAGGCACTATTACTATTATATGGTAACTTGGTGGTTTTTCGGTGAAGACTAATAAAATTCAGGAAAAAATGAAACTAAGAATTTTGTTAGGTGGTCACATCTCTGAATGACAGGCAAGCTAAATTTTCATGACTTAGCCTATGGTACTTCCCTAATAAGAATCCTGAATAGGAACTATCGGGAATATTTATTGCAGTATTGACCTCCAGAGCACCTGTTCTTTCGGCAAATTCTTTTATTAACATTGGTTCTCAAATTGTTTCTCTGCATGTTATTATCCACACTATTTAGCCATACTGCTCATGTTGAGGCTGCTATTGTTCAGATTAATTACTTCCTTTGCCCATCTTCTTTTTGTTTTTTCTTTACATTTTTACTTGAATACATTTTTATGGCAGGTAGAGAAGATGAAGGAAATAGCAAAGGTTAAGGCGAAAGAGGAGAAGAAAAGACTAGCATCAGAGGTGAGAGCTTGTGAAGTGTGCTTCACATTTTCGTTTATAGCATTTTAAACTTGTCATGGTTATCAAATTAACCGGATCATTACGAGAATAGATTTTTACATCTCTTGAGATAGTCTCCTCGAGTCACAGATGGGTTTTCAGCTTTTGAATTTTCGAGAAAAAAATTGTTTAAAAGAAATATATCCATAATTGGAGGGTATTTACAGCCACTTTTTTATTTCCCAGTAAATGTTAGGAGGTTGGCTTTATTCACTCTCTCTTATAATTAATGTAAGGATTATGTTTTTTTTCCATCAAGAATTTTTAATCCTTTTTTTTAGCAAACTACTTATCTGAAGATCCATCTGTGGCTAAACTAGATGGATTAGGGCATTAAGTGAGAATATAAGCCAAGAATTGGACTTGATACCTGATTAGTATAAATTAACGAGAAGTTTGGTGGTTGAAACTTGAAACATGTGTTGCAGTTTTTATTTATAGCAATAATATGTTCCACAATGCAGGTTTGTGTATAGCAATGATATGCTACACATTGTGGTGGAATAATCTATAGTGGTTGACTGATTATTACACGTGTTGCAGTTTGCTGTCGTTTCAAGGATTCTCCCTGCTACTGCCTTGCTACTATTCTCTTTGTTCACTGGTTATCTCTTGATTTGTTTTAATTTCAATTTCAATTTCAGCTTGAGCTGGTGTTGATAGTGGAAAAGCTGCAGGAATTACGCTCCATCAGGATTCAGAAACTGAAGAAACAAGGCAAGTACATTGATATTCTCCTTTGCTCGGCTTATCAAACTTCTGTGGTTTGGTCTCTTCTAGCTTGGTTTTCCGTGTGATTAGAGTGCTTCTGGATGTGTTTATAATTTCATCGAAGAATATCCCTCTCTTTTAATATGATAAACTTCTAGAAAACATTTACCATGGCTATACTGAAAATATTGCTAAGCAAAGTTGATTTTTTTGAGATGGTGTTGCTTCTTGAATTTTTATTTCCTAGCCCACTTGCAATGGGTCTCATTTTTGCAGAGATCACTGTGTTAATTTGTTCTACCTATATAATATGATGTCGGGTTTGGTTTTTCTAAGATCCATTGTAGACATAATTCACTTTTATAGTGGATTTGGCTCTTTTGCTAGTGGATTTAGGTCTATGATTGAATGACTTACGTTGTATCTCATTCCTAACATGTTATCCTCTAATCTTTTGTGTGAATGTTGGTTTGTTGCCTGGGATCAGCATAGCAGATGGTGGGATACTGGTAATAATTTTTTGTGTTTTCCTCATTAAGAGAGGGTACCCACTGCTTCATAACCTTCATGGAAGTGCGGTATAGCATAGTTTGCTTCTGTTCTTGAATCCCACTTTAAGTTAACTACATTATTTACATTATCCGCACATGATTGCATCTTTAATTCGATGCTGTTACTATGCAGGTCATTTTCTTCCAGAAGAGGACGACAAGTTTCTTGAACAAGTTAAAGCTGCAGTTGAGGATGAAGATCGCCAAGCAATGGCTGCAGCTGATACTGATGCTGCTAAAGATGCCATTGCTACGGCTGAGATATCTAGAAAAACCATTAAGAGTCATGCAACTGACTCAAAAGAACTTGATAGCAATATCGCTCCAGATAATGGAAAAGAAGACCAGAAAGCTGAGAGTAAAAATAATACAGGTTCCGTGGTGGTTGCTAATAAAGAAGCTGGGAAACATGGATCGGAAGGACCAGGTTCCAGCATTGCTAATTTGCCAATGGAATTTTACCATTATTATCACGGCAGCAATACTGATATGGGAACGCTTATTGAGGTGATTTCGAAGAATGCATATGGTCTGTTTTATTTTGCATTGTTGCATTGTTCTTTCCTCGTAGAGTTTGAGAAGCTGGTCTTCCACTGTATTTGTGTGATGACTTACCTTTTTATGATCTCTTCTTTTTTCCTTGTATCTAGCGAGCTAGTTGTCCTCCTTATCTAATTCAACATTAAGACCATCAGACTCGTGTCTGCTGACTTAAGGTGATTTCATCCCTTCATGCAGGTTAGACGAGCATGGGATGCATATATACGACCTGGAGGAAGGTGAGAGTAAAATTTATTTTGGGTCTAAACCAAGTGCACATTCTTACTAATTGTGTCACAATTTCTTCTCCTATTTTTGTAGTGTCCACTTTTGAGTTTCTCTTGCAAACATCCTTGACCCTACCCCACGGGTGCAAGAAAATTACACTACTTATTCGTAGATACAAGTTCTATGATGTTAAATGTTCAAAATCGCTTGCAGGCTTCATTGTTTTAATTTAATAATCGTGTTTTTCACCTCATACGCAGCCGTATACCAGGGCACTGGGTCCAAACACCACCTCCATCAGATGAAATATGGGCATCCTACCTGGTGAAACCTCGATGACTCCTAATTTGGATTCAGACAATGCATTGATGGAAAGCATCTTGGTGAACGTTCACATATTTTGACTGTGGTTTTAGACATTGAACTCAAAGGGCCTAGTTATTTGAGAAACCTTATGCCTGGTGAGACGAACACGTAGAAACCCGGAAGTCATGACAGGGGCAACCTATGTTTTCAAATGCAATCTTAGCCTGGACACTGCCCTTAGGCGGTAACTGCAGCTGGGCACAGACGGGCAAATTCAAAAAATTGAAGTAATTTCTACTCTAGTGAAAACAACTGATGGTTAGGTTTGTTGATTTGAGATGATGTTCAAAAGTGTACTCAAAACATTGCTCGAAAATAACCTGTATTGATAGCAAGCAAGATCTCAAAGTTCTGTTAGGAATAACTGTGCGGTTCATTATGAATTTTTTGAAGACAACGTTGACCTTAAAATCTTGTCGAATCTTTCAATCAACTGAAGTACCTTCTTCTCTGCAAACCAAAGCCAGGTTAGTCAGTCACGCCACCGGAGCATATTAAACGAGGTTAGAAGATAAAAATATTTGTTCGCTATATTTTTTCTTACCTTTTGAGTGACGCTTTTCGGGATATTTAGAGGAAAAATGAAGAATAGATGTGTCATATTTTTAATATAGCTTGCATGGGGTCGAAAGCTTCAAGAATTGATATACTGCTAAGGACATGTTTGGTATGATTTTTGAAAAGTGAACACTTAAAAATTAAGGAGCTGCGTTTAAATATTTAAATAATTCTTTGAAAATGCTCTATCTAACCTCTAAAAGCCATTTTTATAAGAAATAGAAACAAAAGCATAAATCCTACCAAACGTGTTCTTATTGAAGTTGAGATTTAGGGGGTGTTTGAGCCTCGTTATTTTTAAATAATGTATTTTAGAATAATAGATTGATGGAGAATATGTGGTTAAAATAGAATGAATTTTTTTTTTATTTGGTTGTAATATTATTTTAATAAAAAATGTGAGGTTGAAAGAAGAATGAGAAAAATGTATTTTAAGAAAAATAAGAATTAAACATTTGAATTAGAAAGAAACAAAAATATATACGAAGACGATCAAGGTCAATTTTCTCAAGAAAATGTTTTACCAGGAGTATAACAAAAAGCATAAGCAGAAACTTTGCTAAACGGATCTTAGTGTTCGTTTTTCATGTATCTTAAGAAGTTAAAACAACTTTTGAGATCTAAAAGCTGCTTTTGAATTTGTTTGACTAATATATAAAAGTGATTTTTTAAGTTAGAATATTTTTTAGAGGAAGTTCATTCATCCATTATGACTTTTTCTAAAAGCATCTTCGAAATAAGTTCTTTTAAAAGTTAGTTTTCAAACAAACATTAAGCCATTGTTTGGACGCTATTTTTCGAAAATAAAAATTAATAATTCGACCGTTATATAGTGAACGGGCCTCACTTTGGCAGCCATGTTTGACTGTGTTATCTGCAGTCAATTAAAAAATTTGGTGAAAAGATCGTAACGCCCCTAACGTGTTGCATTCAATTTTCAGAAATTGGACAATTTTGACATTTCAAACTAAAAAAAGGAGCTACCATTCATTTTTCAAATATTGCGGCTGGATCATTGTTCACCTTACTATTGCAGGGTTTATACTTTTCATTAAAATGTGATATCAATGGCTCCCAAACTGTAAAATAACTTTCTTCAAAAGCTATTCTACGAAAAGTAAAAGTAAAAGTCATGTCAAACGAATAGACAATTGCCGTTAAAAGATCAACTAATAAGAAACAAAAACATACACCAACAATGCGAATTCAGTTAGCAATTACTAGTGAAAATCAATTTATTATAAGCAGAAGCGTTAACAAAGAAAATGCCGAGCAGATCGTGAATCTGCGGGAATTCCATTGTTATCTCCAAAATCTCCATTTTCATAATAATAAACCAACGGGTAATGCTACATGTACACACACACTTTTACACAATCTTTTACACCTCTCTCACATGGAGGGGGGTCCACGATTATTTTATTATGTGTGGCCTCCTTCCATGTGAGAGATGTGTAAAAAATTGTGTACACTTAGCATTATTCTAAACCAAATCACAAATCGAACCAAAAAAAAATCCAATTTTTTACATTTCCAGCCCACCCAAAATGAAAAATCAGACACTTAACCCCCAAAGATTTCCCAATTTCGAAATTCACCCACACTTTACAACCGACGCCGGCCATCGGAGTACTGTGAAAGCGGCACCACCTCCGACAGAGGAGTCGACATAGGCGTCGGAAGCGGCGAGTTCCGGCAAACAGGACAAGAAGCGTTGAGCTTGAGCCACGCGTCCACGCACATAACGTGAAAATAGTGCTTACAGTCAGGCAACATCCTTAACGTCTCCGAATCCTTGTATTCACACAAACATATCGCACATATAATGTCACTTCCGCCATTTTTCTTGGAGAATACGACTTTCGGATACGAATTAATGGCGGCTTGCTACAGACCGACACCGACGTCGTTTTCGGAGTTGTCGTCTTCCGCCGCGAAGACCATGCGAGGGACGTACGAATTAATGGCGGCTTGATCCAGACCGACAACGACGTCGTTTTCGGAGTTGTCGTCTTCCGCCACGAAGACCATGCGAGGGACGTAGCTGCCGTTGTCAGGGGAGGAGGGTTGGTTGTGGTTGATGGCCCGACGGCGGCGAGAAGCTGCGGAGCGTAGGCACATGTATGAGACGAGTAGGATGCTCGAGAGAAGGACGAGAAAGCCGAAAGCAATGGCGATGCCGTAGCCTAAGCCGATGGAACCGAGGTTCTGGTATAGTGGGGTTTTAGAAGTGGCGTCGGCGGTTAATAGTGCTGGGGGGCGGCGGCGGCCAGGGAGGACGATGTGGTGATGAACATTGGAAGAGGAGGCGGCAGCAGTGAGAAGGTCCATTTGATTATGGGGTGGGTGGAGTTGGGGTGCTTAGCTGCTGCATTTAATACCGGGGGTTGAAAACAGAGCAACAAGGCTGAAGATGGTAATTATTGCTTTTTATTATTATTATCTAAATATAAAATATTTAAAAAAATAAAAAAAATAGAATGTTTAAAATTTGATATCAATCAATCATATTTTTTTATTATGATCTTCGTGGCGATAATTAATCGACAGATCAATATGATACAAAATTTGTCTCGTATTGTAACGTAACATGTTCAAATGTGAACGGACTTCCAATATTCGCATAGAAAGGACAATTTCAAGTTTTAATTTCTGGAAAACACAAAAAGTACTTTTGTTTGTTTTTGATATGTCAAATGGTATGTAACAGTCTGGATTTTGTATGTTTCTGTTCAAGTTCCATCTTCGGGAGTTTCATCATTTCATTTAAGGGTCACCCTACTTAAATGAACACGTGGAAATATTAGAGATCCGTTGGGAATATTACATATGAATAACTATATGATAGTCAGTGATTAATCTCTAATGTTCGGTAGTGAAATTTGCCATTTGATTTAAGGTCATCATAGTGCCTTATATAAGAACAGTCATATTTTGGTAATGTTGGATGTTGCTCTATCAAGGGTCGTTAATACGACACCGTTCGAGTATGTCGAAAATCATATGAAGGTCGTGAATGATCAATAAATGATTCATCACTCTCAGATAGTAAGAGATTATGATTTACATTTCATTCAATTAAGTTAATAACGAAATCATTAACCAAAGTGTACTTTTCATTTTCGACTTACATTTACTTAATAGTGAGATGAAAGATATGATCGATAATTGAAATTGACACATATCCATATTTTGTAATTCATCAGATCATATTAACGAAAGGATTATAGTTTCACGGTAAATGAACAAGTTTGGTTTTGTCATATTATGTGACATTATCATTTACATATATTGTCCGACACATTGCTAGATGTTAATTTGGGACGATAAATGTGAACTGATGATAAATTAAAAATGGATATTTTAATTTATCCATTTTGATTAGATCAAAATAATAATTCACGTCGTTAGGCATCGTGATCGGGAATCTAATGGGTCACACACAAAAGAGAATCAGAATAATGAGATTTATCAATTAATTAATTGACAAGTGTTTGATAATTAATTAATTAATTGGGTTGTTTATTAATAGGCCCGAATTAATTAATTGGATTAATTAATTCATGGACCAAATTTAATTAATTTGATTAATTAAATATTGAACCGGGTTCAGTTTTACAAATGGGCCGAGCCCATTTGGACTTATATTAATAGGCTACTAGGGCTTGAAAACTGTATGGAATTTTCATTATTCTTGCTAGCACAAGAAAAGAAAATCCTAGCCGTCATTCTTGTTCTCTGTGTGGATCACCATTGGAGGCTGGACNATCAAAATTTATAGGTCACACAGTCACAAATTTCCAAATTAGTTGGTCACAGATTTTTTTTTTTAGGTCACAGATTACCGGATGGTTGGTCACATATTTGTTGGTTACGGATTATATTTTCAGTCACATAGTAACGAATTTTAAGGTCACAGTTACCATAAAGATGGTCACATACACCCAAACACCCGTCCCCCGATCCCAGTACATCACCAATACTTGGTCGCAGACACTTCGTCCCATTCGCCTCACTCGTCCCCCAATCCCAATACACCAACAATATTTGGTCACAGGTCACAGAACGACCAAATAGTTGCTCGCAGACACTTCGTCCCATCCGCATCCTACCCTAATCCCAAAAACACCCACCAACAACTACCACAGTCACCTGAACAGCACCACCATCGTCACCCTGTCACAACATCACCACAACCACTGTCATAATAATAACAAAAAACAAATATCCCAACGCCGCCCTCACCACCACACCAAGAAAAACACCACCATCGCCTTCGACCCTGCCACAACACCACACAACCATCGCCACAACAATAACAAAAACTGACTGAAAAATCACGACCCAACTGACCGAAAAATCATAACCCAACGCTGCTGCTGCAACGTGTAGCAGCAGATCGCTGCTGCAAATCGCAGCAGCAGCGTCTACGCTGCTGCTGTAGTAGCAGCAGATCGCAGCAGCAGGGAGCGTCGACGCTGCTACGATTTGCAGCAACGATCTGCTGCTGCGAATCGTAGTAGCGGAGGGAGGGGGAGGGAAGAATAGCAGCAGCAGGGGGAAGAGAATGTAGGGAGGGAGAGAGAGAGAGAGAGAGGGATGATGAGAAGGGGGAGGAGGAGGAGAAGGGGAGGGAGAGTAAATTAGGGTTTTAATGGAATAATTACTTAATTAAAATGATAAAAATCGGAAAATTGAATAAAATAAAGGCTAAACCAGATTTTTAAAAACCGATCTTTAAATACCTGTTTTTTTCGTAATTTCCTCTTAATTAATTAACAAGTGTTGTACAATTATTTAATTAAGTTGTTTGTTAATATACCCGAATTAATTAATTGGTACCAAATTTAATTAATTAGATTAATGTAATATTGGACCGGGTTACGTTTAAGAAATTGGTCAAGTCCACTTGAACTTATATTAATAAGCCATCAGGCTTTCGAAAAAGGAACATAACACAATTTATTATCTGGCTAGTACAAGAAAAAAGAAACATCAATTCTCTCATTGTTGCAGATCGTGATTGTTCGTATTTCAAGATCAGCAGAATCTAGAAAACAAATAATTTCTATCACATTTTCTTTCTAAACACAAAGAAAATCATTGATGGGAATTGAAATTTATTTGAGAATAATGAGTTATGGAATAATATTTTTTGGATAATGTATGGTTAAAAAGTAAGGAAACTTTACTGATTTGTATATAGAATATTTTATTGTATGAATTTATGATGGATAAATAATACTGTAACAAACAATTTAATTTTTTAAAAGATGACAAATAGGGCCTTATGTGATTAAAACGTTGAATAAATATAAAAAGTAAAAAAAATGAACAAGATCTTGATTTGGGAATAAAAAGCACAAAGTCAAATGAGAAATTATTGACTGGGGTTATGAAGGACAGAGATAGCGATTGGAATGACCTTTTAATAAGGTTATCGTATTCGCATTGATATCTTATCGTAGTCCCGAGGAATGACTAATAATACAATATTTAAGAGTTCTGCTACGCGTACAGAAAAAGTAATGCCATAATTTTTATGGATAACAATTGGTGATTTTCTATTGAAAAATGACAAAAATAAAAAATAAAATTAGACCAATCAGATGCTGCCAAAGTAGCATCTGTTGCAATTCTGGCTCAATTCCCGTGTACAAGGGGAATTGTTGAGTATTTAATGTTACAATAGAACTTTTCAGAGCGTGGATGGAAAATCTTGCAATCCGTTGTGCTCTCGATTTCATTCAATCTCCTGTTTCGTTCCATCCTGAGTTACCGTTTGACTCCCTTCTCCAACTACTGATTGGGAGATGCAATGACGCTCTACACCTGAATTATATCATTTTTTTTTAATTGAGAAATACAAGTGACTAATTCTAAGTCAAATAGTCGAAAAACTCAACTTCACTATTTTTGAACAGCAGTTTTGCTGTGTGCACAGAAAACTGTTAGAACACATATAACACAGGTGGGACCCGCATTTTTTGCAATATTTAATTTCACGGGGGGCCTACCTCCATGTGAGTTTTCTGTTGACCTTCTGTGGTGATTTTTCTGTATAAATGGAAAATTCCTTTGAACAATTTGGAGATGGGTCTTATTTTGTGGAGCCATCCGTGTCCAGGCTTTATCCATTTATCCAATGTCTAGCAATTTTCATTTAGCCATTTTTAATGCGCCATCGACAAACTGATCCGGTAAATCGGATCCGCTGTCGATTTCATGGATGAATCAAAATTGGTGCATTAAGCCTACTCATCATTCCTGTTAGCTTATAAACTAACCACAGACTTTGCACCTTCAGTTGAACATTTCCATGCTTATGGATTCTAAAAAACAGAAAAACCTCTGTAGATTAGTTGGGGAAATGACAAATCTATCAGCTCTTTGTCCAAGTTTGGGATGGTCAACTATGCCATCCACAATGTATTGTTCTTAATCCTCAATCAAATAGTCGAAAAACTCAACGGGACTATTCGTGTGCAACTTATCCATCATGTCTAGCGATTTCCATTTAACCATTTTGATGCCTCGTTGACAAATTGATGAGGTAAATCGGATCGATGGTCGATTTCAAGGATGAATCAAAATGTTATGTATGTACATCAATGTAAAGACTTTAAAGAAAATAAACTTTTAAGACTAATTTGTAATAAATGAAAGTTTGATAACCAAAACGAAACAACATTTTAACGTAAGGGACTAATAGTTTTATTAACAGATTACTGTGGCAAAGAAAGAAAATTGGTATATAAGAAAGTTGAACGAACAAACCGCCGCCATCCACCTCCAACCATGGGACGCCTCCTCCTCCGGCACCACCTAGCTAAACCCCACATTTGCACCACTGTTCTACGCCGCTTCTGCGCCGAGCCCCACCCCTCTACACCACCATCACAGCCATCATCAACCACCTCCTCTACCATCCCTCAAATACTCTCCCTCCTACAGAACACTGACCCCAACGACTGGCCAAACAACCCCGAACTCCCCACCCTCCTATCCTCTCTCACTCCTCTGTCCAACCTCAGACTCGCCCGCCAGTTGCCCAATTCCCAAATTGCCCTTAAATTGTTTCACCATTTAAAATCCGCCGTTCCACAACCCGACTCCACCTCCTCCCTCTCCTTCATATTCCAAGCCATTTTTGAGCACGCGCTGCGTGAGCATTCCGATTCGGCGAGCAAACTTTACGAGCTTTTTGTTCTATCGACAGATGAAAAAATTCCGCTCACAATCAACGCCGCCATCCTCCTCATCAAACGCTTTGGTCAGGCCAGAATGGTTAATGAATTCGTACAAGTTAATGATGCACTTGATCCCGATTT